AGAGGGAGAGAGAGGGAGAGGGAAGAGAGATGGAGAGTAGCACGTATGACGGGTCCCGCTAGTTCAATATAAATAATGCAGTGAAATATTGCCGGGAGGAAAAGAAAAAGGGTTTAATAATACCATTATAGAGACCTATGGACAGATCTGCAGTACAATACACTTTGTCATCGACAATACATGCTATTCATAAAATGCACGGAAAATATTTTTATTACTCCTTTGCACATATCTATTACACAATAGTTATGTTCTTGCCCGCTTCTATTTTGCCGTTTCCTGTGGGCCTGAATCTCGCTGTAATGCCTTTCGCTGCAGGTGTTCTGCTACTAGCAGCGATTGCAGGCAATTACAAATGCTTCCAGTATAGGATGCAAAAATGTTAAGTTCGCTGGAAAGCTAATTTCCCTGGAGGAGCGTTATGGTGAGCGAGGTTTCAAGTACAGAGACAAAGTCTGATGAAGTATGAAAAGTTTAATTGAAAAAGTAGATCTGCAGAGCAGCGTGAAGTCGACACAGCAAAGTCTCTGGGCTGGCTGCCCGTTATCAACGCTAGAGGATCCTTATATTGGAAAACAGGGAGATTTATGAGGCCATTACGCCACCCCCGCGGGGCCCCGCCAGAACTCGACATGTCCTGGACGCAATAAACTGGCATTACTGTCAGAGGACATTTGCCCTTTTGAAAACACTGTCTCGTAAGTTCCCAAACATCCCCTTTTCCACTATCTGGATCCGTGTTAGTGTTGACGGCGGTTTGGGGAGCTCTATCACCCATGACCTTAAGATAAACCTTAAGATAAGCAGAGCGCCTGCTCCGGCCGCGACCCTAATTTAGATATCTTTGAAAGGTGATATTTCTCTCGCGTACATGTTTGAAAGAAATATTCATTGCTTCTCTTATCTAATGTACGTAGGTGCATTTACCATTACACCGCTCACCGCCCTCTATTTCATATCTAATCGATCAGCGTTTACTGTAGACGCGCGATTCTCATTCAGTCGGCAGCATGTAAACAGATCGCAGCGCCCAGTCTAAAAAATGTAAAGTGAACGTGTAATACCTGCCAATGAAATGTGACAAATACTAAACAAATACAGTAACATATATAGCGCAAGCGATGAGTGTACATCAGCAATTTGAACAACACCTTCCCTATGAATATTTTAAATAATTATTTAGAATGTTCAAGGAAATGTACTGTGTCAGATACATCGATCTATTACATAACGTTCTGTAGACAACAGTACTTAGTATTTCAGTAACATTAGCCAACACGTCCACCAATAAATCTTACCGGTCAATGGAATGTCACCAATATGAAACAAATACACTCATTCTCAGATGTTGCACGAGTGATGAATGCATATCAGCAATTTGGACAACTTCCTCCCTGTGAATATTTATAGAATTATTTAATACGTACATGGAAATGCACCGTGTGGGATTATTACAGAGCGAGACACATGGATCTATTACATAACGTTCTGTAGATAGTAGTAACGTAGTAACGTGATATCCTGTAAATAATACTTATCATTTAAGTACTATCGACTAATAATTCAGCTCACATCAAAATAAAGTCATGTAGTTCACCTGATCAACATAAGCAACAACACCTTTCATCAGCATTGTTATTATCAAATCAATATCATTAACACAAATATTCATCAATACATTTTACCTGTCAGTTCAAAATAGCAAAAATTGGCAAATGTTCCGTAGTCCACATCCATTGCTGCGCTCGGCGATTTAAATCTGCCGCGTGCGCGCGCCTAACACTACGCGCGATCTGTGGGCCGTTAGTAACAGCGGACACGCGACACTGGTTCCCAGGCCAAGCGCTAGATTGCGCCAGTGCTGCGCCTCGTATAAAACGGGGCAGCCAGCGCCGAGAACGTAGTTACTTACACAGGATGTACTTGTCATGTATCTCGACATGGTGCAAGCCTTTGACTAAGTGCCACACAGTACACTCATCACAAAACTTCGGCGCTGCCTTCCACAAGACGTAACCGAAATAGTTAAGTCGTTCCTCACAAATCGCGCTTTCGTGGTCAATGTGGGCAAAGCGAAATCCTCAAAGCGGAGGATTGCGGCCGGAGTCCCTCAGGGCTCTGTCCTCTCTCCGCTACTGTTCTCGTATGTCAATGACATACGAGACGAGATACATATAAACCACGAATAAATTTCCTTAATGCTGATGATATAGCCGTCTTAGCAAGAGGAATAAACCCAGACCACAAATTGAAAATACTTCAAAAACAGATGAATCTGAATCGGGAACTATGAAGCTGAAGCGGGCAGAACAAAACCACTTGACTTTTTCAGCGGAAAAGTCGTAGGCAATGTTACATCCACCGCAAACACAAATACACTAAACGATTTACACCACCAAAACAAATTACACTTGGCGCACAAAAACTGACATGGGCACCTCAGGCAACTTTTGATCAGGCTCAGGCGTCACATTTGATCGAAGGATGCCATGGCATTTACATGTTAGGCGAATTTGATCAAAATTACAGCAACTAGTTCGGATCTTACAACCTCTTTTGAGGGAACCCACACTCCCCTTGGAACTTCACTTGGGACTCTATAAAAGGAGTTGCCGGCCTGTGGCCACCTACGCTGCGGCAACGTGGTGTACCACATCACAGAAGTACGAGAACACATTTGAGCTAGTACAGAGCAAAGTTCCTCGGCTCATAGCACGCCCTCCGTTTCGGAAACGGTTGAAAGTACTGAGGAAAGAACTCGATACAGTCACTCAATTTTTGAGATGTCTTCGTTTAACGAAGCCTATCAAGCCTTTGAAACCAACGAAGCTCCGACGGTGCTAAAACAATTAGCTCGACACGTCCTCACTATAGGACAAAGAAGACAAGCACTCCCCTCTGATATTGTGAGGACGTAGTGCAACACAAAAGTCGATTTGGCTGTTGACTAAGCACTAGTCACTTACACATATGAGCAGTAAAACGCGAAATGCGTGCGAACTGCAACACTGCAACTGCAAGTTCCGAAACCTTCGGCTAAACCGGGAAAAAAAAAGTTCTTAGTTCTGAGGTCCTAGTGCCGAGTTCCTAGTGCCGAGTTCCTAGTGCCGAGTACCAGTTCCAGCTACCTACGCCGTACGTGTGAGACGAGACGGAACCCCGTCAGCTTAGCGAGTCGACGCTGAGAGAGGCTGCGAGATCGCCCGTCAGCGAGGCGACACAGGGATCTGCGGGTCTAAGGAGGCCCACGCACCGACCCAGCCAGGACGCGCTCGGAGACGACTACTTCGTGTGAGTAGGAGTGTCGCCCACTCACTCTGGAAAACTGTCCAAGCGGGGCCGTGGCCCTTGCAACGATAGCCGGGTAAGGGAAGCTGCAGCCGGGATTTTTGCTCTACACGGCCGGAGGTGACGGTCTGGCGTGACGAGGGAAGCGTCACGCCGCTAAGAAGCTGGGAGATCATTTTTTGGAGGAAAGGCATTTGGGTTGTATAATGAGTTTTACCAAATGTACTCAGTTAGACTGAATAAAGTTATGTTTGCCAAACAACATATCATTATCTGAACATAAATTGATTAGTAAACTGAAGAAAAATATGAAATGTACGAAATACAATTTCCAAAAACTAATCAGAACTCCCTCGCATCTGATGTTTTCCATATATATCATGAGAATTCATAAGAACGTTAATTGAATACTTACAATTGGTAATAATAGTTAATCGTAAACCGACGTTATTAAAAGGTACAACCGTTTAAATGATATCACAACACATTCTCCAAGCCAGTTAACGCTCCTTGATCGGCACACACGTGCTAAATGCTGCTCATCTATTTCCCACGATCTTGCGAAAATGCGTATGACGCCATCTTTCAGTTTCCATTCTAGCGGCGTATTCAAACAACGCAAATTTCGTAGTTTTATTACAGTACTAGCGGACCCGACAGACTTCGTTCTGTCAAAAAGATTTGTAATGTGTATTTTTTTCCCCACATATTTTATAGTCTGGGCAAAAAATTCTCCTCAACAGAACCGTCACCCTGGTGATAGGGCGTTGTGAATAAGAAAT